GAGCTTTTCATCATCAGCGTCATACAAGAATGTTTTAACGGCAGACATCTTGTACTAAGTACATGAAGTTCTTTATTGTTGAATTCATAACTAGAGAATCTTTCCAGATAAAGACGCTCTAGCGTTATTTGTCAACAAAATTGTACATAGTAAATGGGTTTTAAATTGTATAAAACTACACAGTCCTAGACGTGAAATTATACGGTTTTTTATTTCCCTACCATCAGCTAAATTACGGCTAAATTAAATAATTTTACAAGAGCAAGAAGACAAAAATAGACTATAAGATGTGCTGCACGGTAGTTCCGGGCTCCTTTTGGACGGGCTCCTCCTGGTCCTGGGGGAGGTACTCTGTAAGGGAAATCGCGCGGGGTTCAACAAAAAAAAAAAAATGGAGACGACGGTATGGCTTCCTCGCTCGGGGGCGACGATTCAAAAGCGTGCAGAAAACGGTGTCAGGGTTCTGCACTTTTATCTCCCAAACGAATTCTTCCACACCAGATTGGTTCTACACCCGAATCCTCCTTCACGGCTGGATACTGAATTAATAACTGAAGTTCTTTAAGTGGTCACAAATTCGCCCCTGGCTCTTGATAATTGCCCCGGTTTCCGGCCCGCGAAAATTAGCTTCGTTATAGCAGTTGATGAATCCGTGTTGAGTTTGTATCCGAGGCATCCAGATTTTTGGGGAAAAAATCAAAATGATAAATAACAACATTTTATATTTTAATTTTGAATCTCCAAAACCGAATGCTTTGAAATCTTACAAACGTTTTAAAGTTATCGTCAGCATGGTAAACTTTTAATCAAAATTTGTCTGTTTCTCCCCTCCAAAAAATTGATGACGTCATCTCAAAATTTTACCGAATAAATCCTATTTAAAATGTGCAAAATGTGATGAGTCTATACTTGCGAGTTAACACTGTATTGATATTTTTTAGAATTGCTTATGCAGGATGACTAAAAGAAATAATGAATCAGTCAATTTATTTTATTGATTGAATCAGGAACGGTTCAATCCATATTCCCGAAAATTTGGAAATGCAGTACCTACTGTTGTTACTAGTACTGAACTACACCCATCCAAGTTGATACACGTATCCTTACAAAATTTTGTAGAGGAAAAACTCATTTGAAACATGCGTGTAACACTGTTCTTTACATTTACTTTAACATTACAACATATTATATTAACTTGTGGGGGTTTTCACAAAAATAAAATTCTCAAAATCAAATTTTATAATTTTTGGAAACAGAAGTTCTGTCGAAATAACCTTCACCAATTTTTTTATAATAATAAAGATTTTCTGCACTTCGCATCCTCATATTTTGCCAGTTTACATACCTACCAATTACAATAAATCATTTTCTTTTCATAATCAGGTGGTATAAGTTCTTGAAAGTACTAGGTTTTCTGTGGAAATAATGATTTTCTGACAAGTTGATTATGACAAACCAAATCTCCTCGAAAGCCTTTATCCTCACAACTTATCGGATATTTTCTACAGATGAGTTCGTTTCGTGCGACTTCCTGATTTCCTCTTAATGCTACGAGTCTCACGAAATACTTTTAGCACATATCTGAGTGTTACCTTCAGGAACACTAAGTAACATTACGGAATTTTTGCGAAATTTCAAAAACGGGGTCGGGCTTATTCTATCTTATGTAGGCAGTTACTGTGAGTTAACTTAGGTATATATTTCCTCTATTTAATCCCATAAGAATTTAATTTTTATTTTTGTCCCAGCTAAAGGAAAACTACAAAAAAATATGTAGTTTTAGCTCAAAATAGATTCGTATGCAAATGAAAATCGATAAGGAATCAGCGTTCTTTTTTTAATGCGGGATGTTTCAGTTTTCTTGTGGGGGTAAAAAATTATTCCATTCTAAAATAATACAGATCTAATCCAATAGTGCTTTATTTAGAGCTTGTGAAATATTACAGGTGTATCGTAGTATAAAAATTAAAATATGTATATATTACGTAAGTGCCTCTGAAATTCTATAAGCAAAAGTTTTTCTGATTTATATTTATTTATAATTATATAATTTCATTAAAAACCATAACAAGAGTAAGTCGGTGACTTAAAAAAAAACTCAAAAATGATCTAAGTAAAGTTGTTCTTGTACAAATACGTATGAAGGCAAAGGATGACACCTTTTTTTTTTTATTTATTTTTGGTAAAAATGAACCAAGCCATAATTGCTGGAAGAAATAGCTCCTATTTCCGGCACAAATGAACATTAATTTATTAATTATTATTGATTAAATAAATTCTCATAAATCATAAATCTTAGCAACGAAGCAGTTAAAGATAGACACTAAAAACATTTTTTGTGCGCATAGCCAACTACCTTCAAAAATATATTTTGAAAATTAATCATTATATATATTAAATTAATTATAATACTTACACAAATTGTGTTAAACACTGTACAAATTACAAAATTCTTTAAACTGGCAATCATTAATGCTAGGCTTCGTTTAAAGATACCCAGGTAACTTCATTTATATTCAAGTTGTCAGGAGTAAACTGAACCATGATTATTAGGTAAGATCCGATCCAGCCAACGACCTGTACCAAGATATTAGCTGAATTTAAACATACTTTAATTCAAATATTACACTAAGTAAACTGGAAGCGTTGACGGAAAACATGCCAAAAATTTGAACATCGAATTTATTTTTATCGATTAGCAAGAAGCACTCCGTAAACTACAAAAATTAAAAACAATTACAAAATTTTATAGTTTTGAATTGGAACTCACTTCGTTGTTGGAATAATTAAACCCAGCTTTATTTGATATTATTGTCGATACGAGGCTGAATATTTCCGAAATCTGTAAAGACAAAAATAAAAACAAGTCAATATTAAGTAAAATTACTAGTGGAATTAGAGTAAGATTCACCTTCTGATGAAGTTGATGGTGTGCCCAAACCACGGCAACTACAGCAACAACATGCAAAATTATAACATTAATGAAAATACAGTAGATAGTTATCCGAAATTTTCCTTTCACTGTTAGGAAAAGGTAATTGGTGACGGTAAAACAGCTCGTTGTATACAAAGCACAGATCTGGAGAGAAAATTTTGGTACGATCTTATTTGTTATATTGACGATTTCGATGTACAATTTGACAAAATTCTTCATAAATTTTAAGTTTCCGGCAGAATAAATTCTTTCGTTGAAATAATTATTCAAAAGAAGTACCAAAATAGAAAACCTTGCGTGCAAGAAGTACAAGAACATGACGATAAAGTACGAAGCGAAAAAGATCATGGCTAAAGGAATGTAATGGGAAAGCCAGTCGACAGGTGACGTCCACCTTTGAACAATAACGGACACTACGTATTCAAATATTGCGACATAAATAAACAAAAATAGAAATAAGAAAAATGAAATATAAAACACTTTAAGAATTTGCCTGTGATTTTGATAGAAACCTAGTTTTGTCACGTTCTTATCGAATCCTTCCAGATCATTTAAACACTCAAGGTGTTCCTTCGAATACCACCAGTTTGATAATATATTCGAGAAGAATGTGAACACGTATGTGGATGTTTGCAAATTAAGTATCACTATGTTTATTTGGCTCACATTTTTTTTGTAAGTTTCCAAAAATCGTAAAACCAGTGCCGTGAGGTATATTGCTACCAGAAGAAGAGTATAGACAATTAGTAGTCTATTGAATGAATTTGGGTTTTTTGCTGAATTAAAGGCAAAGAGTTTTGCCCAAATAAGAAAAGGGCGGTAGAAAGTGATTCCCATTTTACAGGACTACGAATGGATACGAAATATTTAGGTGGAGTAACTGTCGAAACATAAAACATTGACAAAAATTGGTCATATTTGAACAAAAAATCGTTGTTAGTGAGTTGTCGTCCTTGATCTATAATACATTCATTTCGAAGTAGAAAATAAGTGGATTCTAATTATTATTGTTGTTAAACTAAAATCGATAAATGCCAAACTTTCAAGAATTTTGTGAACACTTTTACTTCCCAACCGAAAGCTATAATATTAGATTGGATTTTTTTGGCAAAATTTTGAGATGACGTCATCAACGTTTTGAAATCTATATGTATTTAATATAATTTTTACTATTTATTTTATTTTACTGTAAAGGGCGAGAGAGTGTAATTAATAATTATTGAATTAAATTTTATTTAACTGTGCTGGATTTGATACTACTCATATAATAATTGATAGCGAATGCGAAAATATCTAAATGGAACGAACTGGAGCGGGTATTAAACATTTTTCACTAAAAGAAGGAAGAAGAAAAGAAGAATAACACCAACGAACAAGGCAACAAATCTGCTAATAAGAAGAACGGAAAAAAGAAAAAAAAAAGAAGAGCAAGAACAAAGAAGCGGAAAGGAAGGAAAGTACAAAACTGTTATTTTGGAATATATCGGAAATTTAGATAGAAATTAAATTTTGAGGAATATGTAAGAGAATTCGACGTGGTGGATTTGATGAAAACATAGAGGGCACAACAGGGGAAAAACAGCAACAACTCCCAAAAGAATTTGCATGGGCAGAAAAATAGAAAATGAAGCATGGGTGTATGAAACGAAAGAGAATCCCATCAGTTACCTTTGGAAGTGCAATGAAGAAGAAAGCAAAATAAGGGAAAAAGATGTGTGTGAAATAGCTTTGGAGGGGATAATAAAATATCAGAACAGAATAAACAGGACGGATTTTGTGGCAACAGACGACATAAACGAGATAGTGGAAGAACTCAGCCTAATGAAGTAATTGAAATACACAGCTTATAGAAGAGAAAGAACGTAAAGAACTGGAGAAAAACACGAAAACATTAAAGGATTGGAAAATAACCAAGAATTAGAAATAAGTACAGTATAAAGTGCGAAGAAAGAAAAAGGCAGAAACAAAAAGAGGAAGAAGACAAAATACGCGAGATTAGAACACAACAAGAAGAGATGATCTACATTAATGAAAAATTACAGGAATTACAGAAAGAGAAGAAACAATGGCAAAGGTGGTAAAAATATTAAACGCAATAGGAGCAGAGATTAACAGCGAGCAATACATCGATGAAACAATGAAAATAGGAAAATATAAATCAATGAGCACAAGACCCATAATGATGAAAATGACCACGGGAGAAAGCAAAATGGAAATACTGAGAAAAGCAAAAAAATTGAAGAGCACAAACACAGGGATTGACGAAGATTTTACTAAGAAAGTACAAGAAGAAAGAACAAACACATGAAATTACACAGGTGGAAAAAAGCAGAGAGAGAAAACGAGGAGTTTGGGAAAGATCACCAAAAGGAGACTCCCTTGATACACAACTCAGTAAAAGAACCAAGCCCAAAAACTAATAATAGTATTGGGTATGGGGAACAAAGGACACCACTTAGGCAAAGGACAGGAAAATATGACAAGGAAAAATAAATTTAACACAGAGGGTAAGAGAGAAAAATAATTTAGAAAAACAGGAAAACAAACGGGGAGCTCAAGAAGTGAAAGACAAGAAAAACCGTAAAAGAGAAAAGAAGGAAAAAGAAAGATTGGATAAGAAGGTATGGAAAATAAGGACTTGGAATATTAGAAGCATAACAGGAAAAGAAAGAGAATTAATTACCGAATTTGAGCAAGCGAACTTAGATATACTAGGCATAACCGACTCAAAAAAGAAAAAAAAACAAGGGATGATGGAAATGAAAGAGGAACACGTATTAATCTATAGTGGTGTAAATAAAGACATGAGGGCAAGAGAAGGAGTGGGATGTATTCTCAAGAAAGAGCATAGAAGGGTGGAGATTCATCTTAAAAGGAATATTACAAATAGTATAGCATATGGACCTACCGAGGACGAAAAAACTGAGAAAAAAGGGAGTTCTAGAATGAACTAACAGACATAGTGGAAAATTTGGTTGGGCGAACAATCATTTTGGGGGACCTAAATGGCAGGGTGGGAAGTAAAAATAACAGGACAATAGAAGTAATGGGAAGGTACGAGGAGGAACAAAAAATATGAACGGGAAAAGAATAATCAACTTCTGCGTGGGCAATAATTTTATAATTATAAATACCTTTTTTGAGCACAAGCAGATACACATGTACACACGAGAAGTACATAGTAGAAACGAAAAATCAATCATAGACTATATGTTAATAAACAGGGAACATAGGAACGAGGTACCTACTAGATGTTAGAGAGGGCCAGAAATAAGTAGCGACCATTATATGGTACTCGCAAAGTAAAAATCCAAAGAAAGGCAACAAAGCGTAAGACACAACAAAACAACAGCCCGAAAACACAAGAAGTGGTAGAAACATATAATCTGGCGACAAAAGAAGTGGCTGACAGATACAGGGAAAACTAGAGACAATAATAGCAGAAAAAGATGAAGCGTGGGAATTCAAAAAAAGTCATCCGAAATACAGCAAGCAAAGTGTATCGAATAACAAAAATAGATAAGAAGGAAAACAAACAAGCTGGTGGAATGAGGAAATAAAGAAACAAATAAAAGCAAAAAAGAAAAATTGGAGAAAGTATGTGAATAATAGCAACGAAGAAAATTATGATGAATATAAGGAGCAGAGAGGGATTCTAAAAAAGAATGTTATACAAGCAAAAGAATTAGAATGGATCAATTTTGGCAGAAAAATGGAAGAAGACAGCAAAAATAACCAAAAACTATTTTACAAGGTATTGAAAAACCCAAGGAAAGAAAGAGAGAACAATATAAACCAAATCAGAGATAAGAGTAGGATAATGATCAACGATGAAGACAAGAAAATGGACAGATGGAGATAATATTTTAAGGAACTACTAAACACAGAAAATGATGAAATGACATGTGGGTTACAAGAACACGAGGTTGTATATCTAAATGAGAGAGCAGAAGAAGAGAAGAGCAACGATCAAAAGGATGGGAGCAAAAACAACGGAAATGTTGACAAAATTGTACAACAAAGCGTTTCAAGAAGGCGAGGCACCGGATGATTGGCAAATCGGAGTAATAGCACCGACACACAAAAAGAGCGACAGCAGCAGATGCGAAAATTACAGGGGAATAACCTTGATAAGTATAGTGGCCAAAGTTTACGAGCGAATAATGGACAAGGAACTAAGAAAGATGCTAGAACATAATCTAGAGGAAGCGCAGAGTGGCTTTAGAAAGGGACGAAGCGCACAAGACCACATATTTTTTTTCCCTGAAAATGAAAGAATACTATAGGAAAAAGTGGCTGAAAACCAAGAATTATAAATTTTACAATGAATTTAGTCGTCCACGTAGCTTGACTAAGACTCTGATTTCTGATTCCTACAGATCTTACATAGTCAACATGGAGACTAACATTAAATCTAATCCTGCTGAGATATGGACATTTTTAAACAACAGACGAGGACATTCAAGAATTCCAAATACTCTACATGATGCGAAATTTGAGTACTCGGAGCCTTATTCCATCGTCAACGCTTTTGCTGACTCTTTTTTCAAGTTCGTTCTCATTAAATGATCCTATTCAAATAACTGATTCTGTAAATTCTACTGTTCCCTTCGGTTTTCCTTTGATCTGTGAAGACGATCTTACATCTGTAATGGCACGGTTCTCAAATAAGTGTACTTCAGGTGATGACTTAATACCTTCGTTCCTTATACGTGATTGCAGGTTGGTTTTTGCTAAACCGCTATCTATTTTATTTAATCTTGCTATAAAAACTTGTACCTTTCCGAGTCTCTGGAAACGTGCCCGTATTTCTCCTGTGTTCAAAAATGGTGATAAATCATGCATTCCAAATTATAGACCAGTGTGTATTTTGTCCAATTTTGGAAAAGTTTTCGAAAAGGTTCTTTATCAGGTGATTTACAATAAAGTGAAGAGTTACATTTCGCCTTACCAACATGGCTTTGTCTCTGGAAGATCCACTGACACCAATCTTTCAACCATTGCACAATATCTAGCCGAGGAGGTTGATAACCGTGGAAGAGTGGATGTAATTTATACAGACTTATCGAAAGCTTTTGATAAGATTCAACATAACATTCTAATACAGAAGCTTAATAACTTTGGTTTGAACACCGATGCTTTAGCTTTAATTGAGTCTTATTTAAGTAGCAGAGAGTTTGTTATGTTTATTACAATGGTTTTACTTCTAGAGAATTTATTGCTACATCAGGGGTTCCCCAAGGATCCCATCTCGGTCCATTATTATTTGTTTTATTCATAAACGACTTGCTGCTTTCACTATCTTGTCCAGTCTTAGCTTATGCTGATGACATTAAATTATATATGTTAATCAATTCTTACAACGAAGTTCTTTTATTGCAAAGTAACTTAAACGTATTGACACAATGGTGTATGACCCATAAACTCATTCTTAATAAGCAAAAATGCTTTTTTGTTACTTTCACCAGAACTCATTCTCCTTTACCGACGCAGTATATGATTGACGGTTATCTTCTTGATAAGAAGGATTGTATGAAAGATCTTGGTGTTGTTTTTGATTCAACGTTGACATTTGTTGAGCACCTTAATTGTGTTTGCTCTTCTGCGTCTAAGTCCTTGGGCTTTGTCATGCGCACTTGTCGCAACTTTAGTGACTTAAACTTAATGAAGCAGCTCTTTTATTCCTATGTTTTAAGTAAAATGGAATATGTCATACTAGTATGGAACCCCATATACGCATCTCACGCACTCATGTTAGACAAAATTTATCGTCGTTTCTTGAAGTACTTATCGTACAGAATCGATGGTGCTTATCCAGAAAGAGGAACTAGTTCAATTGAACTGCTTGAACGTCATCATTTGCCGTCATTAGGAGAAAGAAGAACTCAACGTGCTGCATTATTTTTGTCTAAACTAGTGCATTATCAAATTGACTGCGAATTTCTTTTGAGCAAGGTACCTTTCAATGTTCCTCGTCTTACGTCAAGATCGGCATCCAATTTCCGCTTACCAACTCCACGTACAAATGTACTGCGCAGAGCACCGATATTTTTTATGTGTAAAGCTGCTGATGTTATATATGATGACTTGTTTGTTTAAATATATGTTATATTTTTGTTACATGTTTGTCCTATAATAGGTTACTGTTGGACAAATAAAGATTACTATTATTATTATTATTAATATTATTATTATTATATTTACGATCAAACAATTGATAGAAAAAAGTAGGGAAAAAAGGATTTTTGGATCTGACAAAGGCGTTCGATAGCGTATCTAGACGAATAATAATTTGGCAGAGTTTAGAGAGGAGACAAGTCATTGGCAAATTCCTACAGGGAATACGAGCCTATACAGCAAAACGTGGAACTATGAGAAAACAGAGAACAAACAATCGAAAAAATTTTGAGTGGAAGAAGGACTTAGACAAGGTGGGGTGCTCAGCCCAACGCTGTTTGTCATGATCATAGACGACATCATGAAAGAAGGGAAAATGTTAGTGAAGAAAATGTACCTATGTGGGGCACAGAAAACTACAACCAATGTGGCTAACCGAATGCGCTTTCGTCGATGACATCACACTATGTGCGGCAAAAGAAAAAGATCTGCAGCAAAACTTCGAGATATGGAAAGAACAACTAATGAAACGAGGAATGAAGATACATATTGACAAAACTAAGGCGATGGTGATAGCAAATGATCGAAAAAGCATAAACATAGAAATAAATGGAGAGAAGGTCGAGTAAGTAAAAGAGATTAAGTATTTAGGCCCAATGATACGAAATGAAGGGGACCTGACGAAAGAAATTGAGAAGAGAATAAGCAGCGCAACGAGATTGTATCTCGCGCTAACAAAATCGATTATAGGAAGAAAGGAAGTAAGCAGGAAAACAAAGATGACGATATTTAAGACAATATACCGACCTACATTAATACATGGAAGTGAGAGCTGGGTGTTAAATGATCCGCTGAGGAGCAGAATGCAGGTGATAGAGATGAAATATTTAAGAAGAGTGCAAGGACTAACACGAAGAGATGAGATACCAAACGAAATAATAAGAAAAGAACTCGAAATAGACCCAGTACTACAAGTAATTGAAAATCAACGGCTAAAATGGTTTGGATACTTGATAAGAATGAGCGAACAACGGCCAACGAAAAGAGTATGGGAACCAAGAATTATAAGTAATAGGAAACGAGATAGACCAAAACTTACATGTAACGACGAAATGGCAAAGATACTGAGGAAAAGGAACCAAGAATGGGACAGGGCGAAATCTATAGGGAAAAACAAAAGAGAATGGAATAAAATGGTATATTGGGACGCATGAAGAAGTATGATTTTATAGCTAAAAATGAAGTTTACTCGAATTGTATATTGATTTTACCTTACCCCTACGGGTAGAAAGGTTTTGGATTATATATATATTATATATAGGAATTACAGAAGAGATAAGGACGAGCAATGCAGGAAACATTTTGGAACTGCAAGAAGCGAATGAGAAAACTTACTCTGAAAAATGAAAGGGGAAAGAAGAGTCAGTAGAGAAAAAATAACAGACAAATAGAATACCTGAAAAAAGATAAAGCACCGGGAGGAGACGGGATAGCAAATGAAGCATGGGTGTATTAAACGAAAGTGGTCAGAAAGAGGATGTCTGAAACAATGGTTGAGGATTGAAATGGAGGAAAAGGATATTTTGCCAAATCAACAAGCGGGTTTTAGAAGAGGTAGGGGTACTATAGACAATGTATTGCCTCATATAATAATATTAATAGTAGTAATAATATTAAGACTTTATTGCCCAACAGATTATTATCCAATGACAGAACAATATATTATAATTAAATTAAGATACAATTCAAAGAAAAGAAAAAATTATACATAATTAAAGAAATAATTACAAAAATTACAAAATACAGTGCACTACTCTCTAAATCTGAACCCTAAATATAAAATAAAAATTGAGTAATATAATGTTATATTCCTTTAAACAGTACAGTTCACATCACTAAAGTTGCGTAAAATTGCACTAATACTTGAAACAAATATGTCTGTATAATAGTGAATTTAACCCTAAATTAGTCCTAAAATGGGGCAATTTGAACGGATCTGAATTTCTACTTTCAGGCCTAGGGATGTTAAACGATAATTGACACAATAAATCATTGCAGTCAGTGGGGCCCGCTAAAAGATTTTTCAAAAAAATTACACCAGCAGTATTACGTCTGGAGCGAAGGGACCCAGTATGATATTCCGAGAGCAACAGTTGTTGTGAATATCCATTTGGGGGATACACAGCGTGAGTTCGAAAATACAAAAATACTTTAAAAAGCGTCGCTGCACAGATTCTAAATTGACTGACTGATAATTGTAGAATGACGACCATATAATGGATGTGTATTCAAGTTTGGAGCGAACCAATGAATAAAATAATACGTAAGAGCTTTAGGATCAGTGAATGATTTTGTATTTCGAATTAAGAAACCTAATACTTTAAGAGACGATGTAACAACATGATTCATATGGTCATTAAAACTTAGTTTCATGTCAAATATTACTCCAACATCCCTTGCAAAGTCAGACCTATTGAGGTTTGTGTCACATATTAAGTAATCAAAATGTAGTACGTTGAGTTTGCGAGAATACGAAACTATATGACATTTATCTCTGTTTAATAGAAGATCATTATTATCACCCCGTCTACTAACTCTGTTAAGATCTTCCTGCAATAGTCGACAATCTTCTTCACAATTAATCCCTCGATTTAACTCACGGCATCAGGAGGTTTTTAAAACTCGTCGCTGTATGACCAATCTTGGAAGGAAGTGTCCACTGTTTGTGAGTTGTAAAAATTTCAATTATGTCTCTTATGGATGTGACATGTTTTATGACAGTTTGGCTCGCATTTGTGCCACTGCTCCTAACATCTTGTGTCAGGTTTTTTTCTGTAATTGCTATCCCTTTGACTACAATCCGTAATAATTATTTGTTATGTTTGGTCATTTATGTCTTTCTTAATATTCTTTCAGAGAGAATATCTATTAAGATTATAGTTGTCCAATAATTAACTGGTATATGTTTAAATAGTAACTTTGTAGAATTAAATATTCGGTATAATAGTAGTTCTAATTGAATAATTCAACTGTTGGTTATATTATAATAATTTTATTGGTTTATGGTTGACTTAATTTGTCTAACTATATCATATTCTCAGTTTTTGTTTCGTCTTTTGGTCTCCGTAATTGGGCTTTTGTCTGTTGGGGCTGTAGTTTAATAATAATAATAAATTTGTAAAGCTTTAAATCATCTGCGTATAAAAGACAGTGAGAGTTAGAGACATGAGCAGTAGTATCACCTACGTAAAGAAGGAAGAGAAGTGGACCCAAGTTTGAACCCTGGGGCACACCTGATGACTGTAAATAATTAGTAGACTTACAGTTATTATAGACAACACTCAACATTCTATCATGTAAGTACGAAGTAAATAAAGATAAGACAGGAGTAGAAAAACCAAATTGATGTAGTTTACACAGAAGATTAATGTGATTTATGCGACCAAATGCTTTTGATATATCGGTGTAAATTACATCGACCTGTAAATTATTATCCAAACAATTTGATAAATACATAAATACTGTGTGCTGCAAGTGGGGTTACTGATTGTTGAACGGCCACGGATAAAAGCATGCTGTTTGACTGACAATAAGTTTTTTACGCAAAGATATATGGAACTGTAAATTACACTTTTTGCAAAATTTGACAATATTGAGATGGGGCTGTAATTACGTATATTCGATGATTCACCCGATTTAAGAACTGGCCAATTCTTGCAAGTTTCCAAACATCCGGAAATGTACTAGTTTGAATACACTTGTTGAAAATAAGGGTTAGAGGCGCAAGTAGCGCATTGGAGCAGTCACTAATAAGAAATGCAGGAACACAGTCCAAGCCAGCACTCATGTTGGGTTTTAATTTTTTTATAGCTGAGTTAACTTCTTCTTCAGATATAGTAGTAAGATTTATAGATGGCCAGTTAGTTGATGTTGTAAAAGGATCAGCAGTAGGAATAGACGATGAAATGAAAACGCTGGAGAAGAAGTTTTTGAATACTTCGACAATTTGTTTGGGGGTCGACAGATCTGTTTCATCAAACTGCATTCTACAGGGAATTCGTGTTCGCCCTTTTTTGTCATAAAAGAATTTCCAAAATTCCTTAGGATTATGTGGCTGCACCTGATTCAGATAAGATTTATAATCTCTATTAACCAAAACTTTAACATTTCTACGAATGTTAGAGAACTCATAATAATGAAATTGAGATTTAGTTATTTTAAATTTACGATGAATTATGATTTTTTCTTTAATTTTTCGTTTAAGTTCAGGTGGGTACCATTTGGGAAAACAATGTGTCACATAACATGTTGACATTTTGTCTTTCATCTAAAAAATCCTAGTTAGTGAAATGTATATCACGATAAAGAGAGATGAAGTCTGCTTTTTTAAAATTCTACATCTTGGTTCTGATAAAAATGGGTAGTTTGGATGAGCTACATGATCAATTAAGGGTGAGATATTTAATGCAGGGTGGTATGGATCTGGATGTACTAGTGGATCATTATCTTTTGTAACGGCGCATTTATTTAAGACAGGGTCGTGAAAAACTAGGTCTATACGTCGGTTGTCACAATTTTTTATGTTATTAACTTGGCTTAAATTTAAGAATGATATACTCTGTCTCAATAATCTAGTTTTCATATCATTTAATGATTGCTCTAGAAAATGCGGAACGTTAAAATCACCAACTATGATTGAATTCTTATTTACTGAAAGGAATTGCTCAAAGATTTCCAGAAACAGCTGGAACATATCTGACTTAATTTTTGGAGGGATATACAAATTTACAATAATCAAAGATCGATTGAAGCACAGAAATTTGCAACAAACTATGTCAACATTTGGAACAGTAGTATCGTAAAAATGGTGATGTCCATACTATAAGCAGAAAACTTTGCATTGACGGCTATGAGAACACCTCCACCTTTGGAACAATTTGTTAAACTTTTGTTTCTATCACTCCTGAACACTGTGAAAAAATCTGGAAATAACTGAAATATTAGGAAAGAATAAATGGATTTTAGATTTCATACCATGCGTGTTTTGAGAATAAATTTTGTTATCATTGGATTGTTGTTGGGCAAGGTTAGTTTAAATCACTGTTACCATTAAAAGAAGATTTAGGACTATCTTGAACAATTCGGGGGACACCATTTAAATATTTATATATTAGTTCCTTTAGAAATAAATTTTGAGCATAGGTTTTGTCATCACGTATAACAACTTTTTGAAATGATGTATTTTTCAGAACTTTTTGCTTTATCAAAACAGACTTAGCAAGATCCGGTGAATTAAGTTTTACTTTTAACAACCGAGGACGACCTGTAAAGGCCGAAATAGACAGGTTCAAGTTTCTAAAAACGCTGATCTACAGATGTTTTCACATCGGAAATAAGTTTTTTAACTTCATTAAATCCTGAAAGTGTGACGTTGCATCTGTTGTCAGAATGAATGGTTCGTGTGGTAGAAACTTGATTGCGCGATAATCTGAGGCAGACATAATCTAAAGATAGTTGCATGAAATAAAGTGGGTGTTTTTATGCTGCAAAAACTCAACAATAGAACAAGAAATAAAGATAGACGGTAGTAGGATGTATGCAATCTTTGTGGACCTCAAGCTAGTGTTCCATATGGTAGATAGGGAAGAATGTGGGGACAATTATGAGAACTGAAAGGAATACGTGAACAATTAGAAAGCAAGATAGAAGAAATCTATGTGGAAATGGATTTCAAGGTAAGAGTAAATGAGTGTGAAGTTTTTTATACATGCAAAGGAGTAAGTTAGGGATGCCCACCGAGTCCTAGCCTATTTGAGGCTTATATAGGAAATACAGAGAAAAAAAAAAAAAATGCAGACGAGAAAAATTGTGGTGTCTGACGTGGCGTATGCTGACGACCTGGTGATCATAGAAAATAAGAAGGAATGACAGAAATGATGAGTAACTTGGTAAGACATATGGAAAGGAAAAAGGTAGAACTGAATGAGTAATATTAACTCTAACAGAAGCTACTTAAGTTAATTGGCCGGAAAGGCTAATAAGGCAACCAGTATCGTTTAGGGTATCGATGCGAGAAAGTTTGGACCTTCTACGAAGAGAAGGATAATGATGTTTTATAGTCTGTAAAGAGTATGGACTGGAAGTGTAGAGTGTAGGGATGGAGAAAATGTTATGAGTTATAGAGGGTGCAAGTAAACTATTTGAAGTGGGTATTAGGACTAAATAGACAAACACTAAACAAGTTGTATTTTTTTTTAGTGAAGTAACATCGCTTGCATTCTTCCAAAGCATTGATGCGTGTTTTTTTTTTCAATTGTATCTGGGGATTAAGCCCATACTCACTTTCAAATGATTAGTGTTAAAAAAATGTCCCGATGGGTAGGATAAAATTACTTTATTTATTTATTAGATTTGGCGTTTATTCCATCTTCATTACACCAGTATTAATGTCTTAACTGTAGGGTTACTTCTAATTAAATAATGGTGTGCATATAATTTTCAAACTTGTTCCAGTGTAGTCAGTTAAATTACCACGTTACTTACAACATAAGTGCGTTATCAATAACTACATTACTTACTTGACCTAGCTTTAACAAGAACTAAATATTAAATAATCTCGGTCTGACAGCAGTACATTTGTATTGCTTGCATTATTTTATTGTTTCAGTTTTATTATAAAATTATTAAAACATAACTGGCTGTAGGATTTCAAAGGCTTGTAAAATAAGAATAACATTTCAACCTTTTGATAAAACCTAAATATTTCGATCCAGTTTACAAGATAAGTAACATTAATATCATTAATATTTTGACTAAAACATTTATTAGGAAAATACGTTGTTGAAAAAAGTTCAAAGTATTTGATTTTTGCAAATTGGAACGATGTGCATTAGAGATCTGTTATACTGTTTGAACACTGTGATAGGCTACAAGCGTTATCTCAGCCCAAGTTTCATTTGAAAATGGAAACTAATTACTGAGTACCTACAACAATAAAGGGAAAATAAAAATAATGATACATTACAAAATCTTGTAAGTCTAACCTGGTGGTGCCAGTTGCCATGTGACTTCGTTTATAACTAAATTGTCTGGGGTAAACTGAACCATAACTATCAGATAAGATCCAATCCAAGTGACCATCTGTAATAAAAAAGATATAGATCACCAACGAGTGATCAATGAACACTTTTCTAAACCAGTAGTAGAAAAGGTTCACTTTTCGTTTCTGATGAAACCAAACAGTTTCATTTTGTTGACCACGAATTGTAGTTTTCAAAAATACATCTGCTATGTAAATTTGTCGTGGTTTACAATAGTAAAAAATAAATGTTTAACTTATCTCCCCAAATTATTTTATAAACGCATAAATACTGATTTTCTTTCATAAACTATATTACATATGAACTAAATTATCAAAACGACTTTTTTTTAATTTTATACATTCATCACCACGTTGCAAATCCTATTCTCATAAACATCTTTTCATATTATTCAACTTACGTTAAACAGACTGCCTGGAGTTACTGCGAACATTCCAAATACTTGAACATCAAATTTATTTTTATCGATCAATAACAATCCCTGGGTAAGCTACAAACATAAAACTCGAGTGAAAAAAAAATGTGAACAAATTCTTACATCATTGTCCGAGTGACGAATTTCACCTTTATTTGAAATGATCTTTGAAATCAAGTCATTGATTTCCCCAATCTAAAAAAAAAAAATGTGTGGTACTAATTTCATTAATTGAAAACACTCTTACTTTAAGGTGGATCTGAAAATGTATCCAAACGACCGCACATACTTCAATCGTATGTAGACAGACAACGTTAAACAAAATCAGTTGATGCAAAAAGCGAAATTTACCTTTCACTAATAAAAATAGTTTATTGGTGATGGTAACTGCAGTCACAATTAATAGTGCACAAATTTGTAAAGAAAATTTTGAAGCCATATCGTTGGTGATGTTAGTAATGTCAACATACACCGGAACGAATCTTCTAATGACTTTAAGACTTTCGGGCGAGTAACGGTCGGTTGTGCCCTCTTTCGTTAAAACATGCACCAAACCTTTATATCGTTCTAGTAGAAAATACAAAGAAATAACGATAAAATAAGACCCCAAAAACATTACAGTAAAGGGAACGTAATACGTAAGCCAGTGGATTGTCGACGAAGTATTCACAACAACTGTAACAACATATTCTGTTATCGCAATGTAAAGAAAAGCAATCAAGGATAACAGAAAAGAAACATAAAAGACATTTATCAATTTTCTGTGGTTAGGATAAAAACCTAATTTTGAGAGGTTTTTGTCAAATCCAGCGAGGTTTTTAAAACATTTGAGAACTTTTTTCGATTGCCACCAGTTTGATATCATGTTTGCGAAAAACGTAAATACATAGGCGAATATTTGAAAGCTGAAGACTACGTTGTTCATTTCATTTAGTGTCGTCGCACGCTGTTCGATTATCTCTAAACATACTATAGTAATGTAAGCTGCCACTAACAAAAAGCTGTAAAGGATCAGTAATTTACTAAAAGTTTTTGGGCTTCTGGCGGAATTTAGAGCGAACAGTTTTGCCCAAAATAAAAACGATTCTTCTGAATTGATTATTTCCATCTTGCAAGTTGTGCTGATCTAAACTGAATATAAGTCGTTGTTACGAAGCATACGGTAATCAGTATATGGTATAATTGAAATTTCTGTTACGAAGGCAACGTATTTCGAAATATTTGATTAAATGAGTTAGTTATGAAATGTATCAAAAATGCGACTAATAACTAAATATAGTTACGTGTTCCGAAGTTGTGAAAGTTCGTAATGTTTCTTCTCTTATTACATAATTATATCATAATTTAACATTCAGATCAATATTGGTGTTATTTAGGCAGGGTTTGACTTGCCCTTGAGACACAACCAATTTCTTGATAAAGATTTTTAAGTATTGAAGAAGACATTTTTTAGAACTGATTAAAGTTTTCAAATTAATAATTTTTCATAATTATTAGTGATGAAATATTTTAAGTTCTGTAATTACGAAGACAAAGTTAACTGGTGTTTTAAATAAAGCCAGTTTCTTAGTCTCATTTTATGTAACTTTTTGAAAACATCTAAAAGGATACAATTCGATTTTTAAGATTTTACAATTTATTTTGAAATTTTGTACACATTCTTATTAAAAATATACTACGACCTTCCATACAAAGTACTTGTATATTCTATTTGTGCTTTATATACAGTTTTCACGCGTTTGTTTAGATGTACGAGGATGGTCTGAGAAATTCTCGGCCTCAGTCATAAAAAATGAATCTATCACCTTGATTTTTTTTTCCCAAATAGGCACATGTATTATAAGCTTACATTAACAATTGCTAAAGATTCTGTCAAAAACTTTTCTTCAAATCCATTTTTGAAAGCTGCGTGTTATGGACATTCCGCAAAATGGAGAAAATTGAGTATCGGGCTGTAATTAGTTTTTTTGTTAAAGATGGTTAACACCGACCGAAATTCATACAAAGTTTTTAAAGGTGTATGGGGACTCTTCACCTTCATTTTGAACCATTAAGAAATGGGCTGCCGAATTTAAGCGTAGCCGTAGAAGCACTGAAGGTGACCCACGTGAGGGACGATAAAAAACTGCGACAACATCGGAAATCGTTCGAAAAGTACATGACACGGTATTATCTGATCGACGAGTAAAGTTCGTGAAATAGCTGAGACTACTGGCATCTCGAAAGAACGGGTAGATCACATTTTGCACCAAGAACTGGATATTAAAAAGCCCTGTGGAAGATGAGTGCCGCGTTTTTTAACGGTGGATCAAAAACGGATCCGCATGCAAATTTCGGAACACTGTTTAGATCGTTTTAAAGCAAATACAGCTGATTTTGTGCGACGATTTGTAACCATGGCTGAAACTTGGGTTCACCATTTTACCCCATATTCAAAACAACAATCTAAACATTGGACAGAAGCTGGTTATCCAGCGCCAAAGAAGGCAAAGTCCGTTGCATAGTCCGGAAAGGTTATGGCATTGGTTTTTTGGGACGCTAAAGGAATTTTACTTATTGATTATCTGGAACAAGGTAATACATAACGCGGGAATATTATACTAATCTACTAGATAGATTAGGTAAAAGAAATCGAGAAAAAAGGCCTGGTTTACAGAAAAAAAAAATCATTTTTCATCAAGACAATCCACCTGTGCACAAAAATGTTATTGCAATGGGAAATTTGAGAGATTTAAAGTACGATTTGTTGGAACATGCGCCTTATTCACCAGATTTGGCTCTCTCGGACTTCCATCTATTCCTAGAACTCAAAAAATTCCTAGGTGGACAGCGTTTAGGGTCTAATTTTGAAGCTATCGAAGCTGTAGAGGCTTATTTTGCAGACCTTTCAAAAAACCATTGTAGGGAGGGTATAATCGCATCGGAGCATCGGTAGTCCAAGTGTAGTAGACTCCAGGGAGATTATGTAGAAAATTAAAAATAGTGTCAAACTTATAAATGTGTTCTTTCATTGACAGGCCGCGAATTTCTCAGACCATCCTCGTACTAGACAATCCCAACGTGGTTAGTGAAACGCGTTGAAAATTTTTTTCTTTGTTTTGGAAAACAAACATAGCCTATTTGTAAAAATTTCATTCTTTTTCGATAATTCGTGTGCGTATGCAAAAGGTGCTTTCTGATTTCGGGATTTTGAGTTTACATAAAGACCTACAGAAAAAAATTAATGAAAACGTCGTTACGCACCGAAAAGAAATTTTATAATCAAGGTTTTCAAAAACAAACGTGTCTTACATATATTATTTTTTTACAAAAGCATTACACTTCATCTGTAACATTTATTATTAACAATTAACAGTCTCACAATTTGTTTTCCAAGTGACTCAAAAATTACCCGACGTAAGCATTATTGTCATAAGCCTTATTTTCAGTCTTGTCAGTAACACTGTTCGTATTGTTTTGATATGTATGGAAGTAATTTATGTTGCTCAAATAATGAGGAAACTCAATACTTGGTGAACTCATCATAGAAAGATAATCGGTTTGATCAACTTCAGACTGATTACCGTTGACCAAGATGTACGAACCATTGATGCTCAGATAGTGCTAAAACATATTTTTTAGTAACCGTTTTTCATGGAGAAATTATTTTCTTACTTCTGTCACTGAATCTTCAAGCAAAACTCCTATCCATTTTGCTAGTTCACTAAACGTTGGTCTTTTAGTCGGAATTACATTCCAACATTCCAGCATCATTTCATATCTACAAGAAAACTTTCACAACGACATTCATAACTTTTATCTGAATAACAATACATTTGTGTTGTGGCAAAATATGGCATTTCCATTCTATACCCACTGAAAAGCTTATTGTAGAAATTTTGATCTACTGGCATTCCAGGGTACGGAGTCTTGGCTAATGAAAAGAATTCCCACAATACAACGCCAAAAGACCAAACGTCTGATTGACTCGAGAAAATATTTTCTCCTATAGATTCCACCGCCATCCATTTGACTGGTAAAGGACCCTTCGAACAACTCAAGATTAGACAAAATTAATATCACATGCAAACTTACTTGTTCTTTTTTCTGATATATACCACTCTTGTACATGTTTCTGGCCAAACCAAAATCGGAAATTTTTACCACGTTATTTTCGGATAAAAGTACATTTCTGGCTGCCAAATCTCCATGAAGAATGTTACGTGAGGCTAGATATTCCATTCCTTTAGAAATCTGCAATGCCCACACCAGGAAATCTTGGCTACACATATATTCCACCTTTTCCTCCTCCACATTTCCGGATAAATCTTCAGAACCTGACTTAGAAGAATCACTCGTGAAACATACCGTTGTATACTGTAAGTTAGTTGTACTTCTGAAAAAGGATACATTACAGAGATGCCAATAATAATTAATCGTTGAAAATTACTAACTTTTCTTTTTTAGATGCTTTAGGATCAATAGTCCAATCAAATCCATCTCTGTCTTCCCTTCTCTGATCAATGAATCGATTACTATTTTGTAGAATATATTCTTGGAGATTGCCAAAAGGACAAAATTCAACGACCACAAGCAGTTTTTCTTTGGAAAAAAATATCAGTGACATTTCAAAACGTGCAATCGTACTTACTTTTCATAACATCCTTGGTGCAGGCACCTACTAAATTAACAATATTGACATGCTTTCCTAAATGCACCATAATCTTTAGTTCTGACACCAACGCCCTGATACATTCGTATCCAGCAAATTTATTAACCGTTTTAACAGCAACAGTACTCCTACTCTCTTTAGTAGGTAAACCAGAAAGTTCAGCTTTGACAACAACGCCAAAAGCTCCTGAGCCAAGTTCTTTTCCTGCCATTATAAACATTATTACGAACACTGAAACTAAACTAATGTCTCACCTAATGTGAGATTTTCTAACGGAATTTCCCATTTTTTATCATAAGGAAGTAATTCTCCTTGGTTCTCAATTCTCAGTTTCGGGTTTATATACTCAACAGCTCCTGCTTCAAAGTTAGATAATCCAGCCAGTTTCAGTTCCTCTTTGATCCTATTTTCTTTGCGTATCTTAAGTACCATGATAATTGTTATCGCTATCAGCACAATTGCAAGAACAATTATGACTACCAATAACCAGTCAAAGTCGTTTTCTATAAACGAAATAGATTATAAACGTCTTTACTAAGTCAAGTCTTACCAATAGCTCCCAGGGTAGCAAACTGTGTTGTTTGTTGAAACCTGTTCGAAACATTACAACTATATGTTCCGTTGTCATTCGGGCCAACATCATCGATCATAAGAGTTTGATTTTTGTCTAAAATTTGAATTTTAGCCGAATTTGTGAGCGAAGCATTGTTCTGAAAAAAATTAAAAATTGCGTTTAAGAGCATGATAGCCAATGATATAGATACCTTGAACCACTGAATAGAGGGTGTTGGATATCCGTTAGAGTTACAGTAAAATTTGGCCGATTTTCCAAATTTGGCTAACATAGTTTTATTCCGCATATTACTGGCTACTCTCAGATCAGGCGTTTCTAAAAATAGTCGCAAAAGATGTGTTATTGTTCTTAAATTTTTTCAATGGGGTTGTTTTCTTACCTCTTCCTATCACTGTGATAACTTTTGTTACAGTTTTTCCATCTCTTGTTAAAGCCTTACAAAAATATTTTCCAGTATCCGTTGGATCTATGTTAAATTTAATTATAGATACGCTGCTATGTATAGCATTAATATCCTTTATACTATATTCGTCAAAACCTGAAATCGTTGATTTAATATTCGTTTCATTAAAACATACAATTCGTTACATACCTCTAATGGGAACTCGAATATCGTTCAGTGACATATTTCTTCCTTCACGAAACCATTTTATCTCATGGTAGTATTCTTCCAGAGAAACTCCACACATAATTTCAAGATTCTCTTTGAATAACATTTCTACTGTTATTTCGTTTTGATCTACTAACGTGTTTCGGACATAAACTTCAAATCCACTCTTGACCTCTGTAAATATAAAATGTCAACATACTTGTCTTCGTCTATGAAATTTTACCTACTGTAAATGTGTTGCAGTGCATTGTTATAGCCAAATTGGTTTATTCCAGTTGCTTTAACCGTACCTATACTAGATTTGTTAATCTTAATGTATGAAATCGTTTGTAAACCGTTATCTTCAGACCGGAATTCCTTGATTTCAGTACCATTTCTTAGATATGTCTCCTCATTCTTAAAAAATAAAAAAATTTGTTTCTTCAAGAACAAAGGTCTACTGCAGTTCCCGGTAAGAAGGCAGTCGATAAGGTATGTAGTATTTAAACATTGCAGTCACAATTTATTTTTCAGCACATGTTTTAGATTATATTAAAAAAAAAAAACATTGCAGGCTGTTACTAAGACGAATTCTATGGTATTAATTAAAACTCGAAAATATTATTCTATTATCAAATTTTTTTAAATAGACTAGAATTTGAATTTGAAACGATCTTGGGGAGCCCTGCTGCTCTCATAAAAAAAAAATGGTTAAATCTTGGGATCTGTGGTGTCTTTTTAAAAAAATTTAAGAAAATAGTTACTTGTGTTCCTCGTGTTTTGTTTTCGAAATGCTCCGAAAAAATCATACAGTAAAAGTAAGTTAAACGTGCCTTTGACACATTATTTTGTACAAACCAGATTAGTTAAATTTATTATCAGAAGTGTTATAAATAACTACATTTTTTGTGCAATTATATTAATTTTAAAACTGAGAGGCGGAACGTTTTCATGACCTACTTCGACCCTATAATTCTTTATAGAAACCCTGTACAAATAATGGATTTTACTCCATTCACCACAACAAACTGAATCCGAACTTAGATTCTACCTTTTGCCAAAACAGAATTCACTCCCATTTTACAGTAAATAAAATAAATCAGTAAAATGAAAAAAGAAGGGGACGGGGCGTAGTTTAGCTTTTTTCTACAGTCTTATGAGCAAGCAGTAGCCCCGCCCACCCACCCCTCTTCATTCTAGTGATTACTCTTAATATTGTTCAGTCTTATCTTTGCAAGTACTAGTCCCGCCCACCCGCCCACCGTTTTCTTATAGAGTATGTCATTTGCCAAAATCACTATATTCTTAGCAATTTTTAAAATATTCACTTAGTGGAATATCGAAGCTCCTAACCGTGATGGTCTGTAATGGATTAAATCACCATCTGAAGTTAGTCCAGAAAGCAGAAATACTCTTTACTGCCCAGAAAAGAATGGTTAGAGCACTATTTTTGGACATTTTTTAGAGCATATTATGTATCAAATGTAAAAAATATAAAATTTACATTCATTCAAATAGGTGTAAATTTTTTGGTTTCAGTAACATTCACCGAAACTACATGATATGGAATCAATTTCAAATTGTAGAGAAAATTTTCTTTAGCCAAAGATCTCTATTTCTTCATGAAAGATGATTTTGAAGTCTATAGTCGTTTATTACGATATTATTGCACGTCATATCAATGAACTTGTGGTAAAATCTAAGATCCCAGAAGACTACTGTTTTGGGTTTGGAAGATTGATTGATACGTTGGAACAACTTTGAAAAATGGGCGACCTTGGAGCAGTCTGAAATGAGTAATTACCCTAGGATGATACCAAGACTAACCGGTCTTGTAATTAATGTTTATGTAATCGAAGTGTTGATTGTACGAGTATTTTTTTATTTCTGTAGGTAACTAATAATTTTATTGAGGTACTTAGATAAGTGGTGCCGGATCCACGTATTTACTACTTATACCTTATATGCCGCGAGCGAAACGTGAACTAGACAACAAAGTTGTTAAATTATACAATTTTATAAAAACTTACTTCTTCAAAACAAGATAAGCTATTGCACTTTTCAAATTTCCAGCTAATAAGTGGCTTGGGAAAACCCGTAGACAGACACTTAAATACGTAGTGGTCACCGTCTTTTTTGACTGTAACACTTGTTGATGGTGGTCCGGTTAAGTTTACCAAAATTGGGAATGTTCTGTTGCCGTACTCGTTTCTACCGACAATCGTGTAATTTCCAAAATCGTCATTAGAAATATTGTTGAATTTTAGAACGGATTTGTAATTTGTAGCTCCATTAGACAGTGTTGTCAGGACTTTGAATTTTTCTGACGATGGAGTAATAGTTTCGTTTTCTTTGTTGATCCTTAAAGCAAAAAGCTCTAAAATTGAATACACGTGAAAGTTTAGGCTATTTACCAATAGAACGTAGCTTCTGGATGAGCTCTGATATGTACTTCTAGTTCAGTGTTTGTTTTGTTGAAAAATATTTGATTGTTGTTAAACTGAATTATGTGTTCATCTGCGCCTGAAAATTACCATTACGTGTTATAAATCCGAGAAATCATATTTTACAGTACGACTGAAAGTTACTAAATACTAAAATGCATACTGTATAAAAAGTTCCCGGATTGTAACGTAGCCGATTATCTTTCATGCTACGACCAGTTTTATTGATAAAAAATTTAATAATTGTAGTGACGATTTGTAGATAAATGTTTAATAATAATAATATTATTACTAATAATATAGAACATCTACCGGACTCGAACTGAAACATCTACTGGGTGGTATGAAATAAAATCGCACGTCTCTAGTGCTTATTAGATATTTTTTTGTTTCAACATACGATAAGCTGGTGCCCATATGTATGTATATTTTGTGTTAAAGGGGTTTTCTGGATCTGACGCTCTGCAGTAATAGATCGAATTGTCTTCAATAACAGATTTACTAATGACGTAAAGACTTCTTGTGACGTACACATGTGAATCATATGTTTCATCTTTGGTAATATTTATACGCTCCTTCTAAAATAGATTTCTAATTTATTTTTTATTTATGGTAGAGCAGGTTTGGATTATTTACCTTTAAATGCAGGTTTAGAGGTGCCCTCCACTCTATCAAAACGTTGGGTTTGTCGCAGGTTACCGTACATTCCAACTGTATATCTTGTCCTATTATAGTATGGCCATTACTGAGATCTCGTAGTTGAGGTTCTGTTACGTAACTGAAAACACCTATAAAAGAAAAAATATTATTATAATTTTGAGAAATATATTTTTACTACGTATCAGAAAAATATTATAACCCAGATATGAAGGGTTTAAGAAGAAAGAGGTTCTTACACATAATCGAGGAAAAACATTACATTAAATAAAACGTTTTTCAATTCAACCAGCAGTTATTCCATCAACATGTATATAAACCAAGCGGTAAGACATTGTCGGTGCTAAGCACTTGAAATTTTGTGGCTCGTCTTGAGCAAATTTTGAAAAGTTTAACGTTCTTAAGGGATTTCGTACTGTACGGGTCATGAAACGCCGAGAAAACATAAAAGTGGCAATTCGTCCGATGGACTTTACTACTAGTAGCTTACGCTCAGGCTCAGGAAGTAAAAATCAACCAAATGAAGAAACTAATCGCGATTCAAAGGTATCTCACAGATGTTAGCTTTGAAAAATTAAATTTACCACCATATTTTCGAGAATGATCAAAGATTCTATGAAAATGTCGTACCTGAATTTAATCAAGTACCGGATAATTAGGCATGGATACTCCGGATCAAAGTACAGTACTTTCTTGAGCCGTAGGGGTTCAGGGAGTTGTAGCACTGTAGCAATTCAATAATTTCGAAGTAATATCATTTAGGATAAACGAAATTTTTGCATGAAAACGAAAAACAATACACTGAAAAATGTACAGTTCGTAGACAGATATTTATAGATTCTAAAATTGTCTTATATAAAAATAATGAAATTTCTGTGTATAATTTTGTCAAATGTGTCATTTGCTAGTATTATATCATTATTGTAGTTTATAAGACAATGTATATATCTCATATTTAATATAATTTGTGTGTTGAGTGGTTGTGTTTTGCTGTGCTTTTACAATCTGTATAAGATTAGTTGTAAATTATAAACAACAGGAGTATAATATAAAAGTAACTATTATGCCTGTATGGTCGGTTGTCCAATGGAGGAGTGATATAGATAGTACATTGGGTAGTTTGGGAGTCAAGTCAAATTTGATCTATAATTTCAGAAAAGCGCCAGTTAGACTTTGGTTTTTTAAATGGTATTAGAGATCCCAATGTTGCAGTCAGTCAATTGAATGATCTTCTTACTTCAATTTTTAATAACCATGTGCCGATGAAACAAAAGACGAACCAATAAATATCCGGTATGGTATAACGTTATAATTATTAATTTACTGAAAAGAAAAAATTGACTTTGGCGAAACTGCAGGCGTGCTAAGCGTATACTAGTTATCTTAGAAATGTTAGTAGGAATATAAAATCTGATCCAAAACAATTCTGGGATTTTTTTAAAGCAAAAAATAACCATATGTCAATCCCGGCAGTAATGACCTACAATAACTTTAAGGTTGAAAGCCCATTGCAAATTGTTAATTCATTTGTTAATTTCTTTACCAAAACATTCATTCGAGATACATCTCCTGCTAAAGATAGCGGTGAACAAGACGTCTGATATATTCAATCATCGTCTGATAAGCATAATTAACAATTTCGCTAAAGTGTTTGAATATATTCTTCATTATATTATTTATTCTCACGTCTCCAATATGCTAACAACTAAGCAGCATGGTTTCATGAAAGGTTGGTCGACAGTCACTAATCTCACAATGTTTTCTCAATTTATATCTGAAGTTTTAGATCGACAAGGGCAAGTTGACTGCATTTATATAAATTTTTGTAAAGCATTTGACCGTATTGACGACCATACATTGCTCCGTAAACTGTCAACCTTTGGATTATCAGACTCTCTTATCGTCTTAATTAAATCATACTTCTTTGGTAGATCTCAGTATGTTTCATTAAATGGTTTCGACTCTTATTCTTATGCTCAAACTTCAGGTGTCCCTCAGGGGTCTGTTTTGGGTCCTTTGATTTTTAATATGTATATCAATGATATAACGAAGTATTTAACAGACGACTGTTTAATGTTTGCTGACGATTTGAAAATTTTTGTAGAGGTTAAATTGTTCGAAGATTGCGAGGGACTTCAGAATAATCTTGACATTATTTCTAATTGGTACCAGGAGAATTTCTTTTGCATCAATGGTGATAAGTGTTACGTAATGCCCTCCAAAATTACCAACAGCACTCATTACGATTACTGTTTTGACAATGACGTCATAAAACGTAAATCTTTAATTCGCGACTTGGGGGTTACGTTTGATACAAAACTGAATTTTGTTGATCACATTAACATAATTACTACTAAACCATTTAAATCATTAGGATTTGTCATTCGATACTCAAAAGAAATCGAGGATATTGTTGCATTAGAGAGAGATGGCGTGTACAATAGTGAACATCATACAACCAGTGGCGTATCGAGTCCATCTTAAACATAAATAGTGATGGAAACCTGATTCCACCCTTAGATCATATAATAAATAGATACCACCATGCCGTGTTCTTTCCCTAGGACAGCCTGTGACGACATCCTCCTGTCACACATCTCTCTCGTGCATGGAGGGATTACAATGAAGCTATCCTTGCCTGATCACTATTTGAATTTTGCGCGCCTAAATTTTAGGAAGTATGTCTGAACTAACTTCGGAAGAAAGATGTTGACAGCTTGATTTTATAAATAATTCACAGTAGATAATGAAAGGAATAGTAAATTATTGGGCAGCAATTGTGATCCTTCATGACTACATCATTTAAAATAGGATCTTTGTTCTAAATTCTAAAATTGTTTTTTGTACAACAACTCGAAAGAGAGGTTAGAAGAAACATCTGTCAAAAGCGATTTGTTGCGCTGGTGCGGTACAAGGATGGAAGTGAAATAGACATATACAGATGAAATGCATATGTATAACAAAGATGAAGATGTGTTGATCACACAAGGATAGCATTATACTACTCCCCTTGACGTAGAAAACGACAACAGATAGCTTCATGTCTAGTCACACCTTTCAGTTTGAGTATTGGTATCTATTTATTATATGATCTAAGATTCCACCACACATAGTATCCACACAAAAAAACTGAATTAACTCGAGACGCCACTGTTTCTGCACTGCCTGAGTGACAGTGAATTCACCGTTATATCCGGCGGGCTATTTAAAAATAAAATAAATAAATAAATGGTAACTGTGGAATGAACGAATGGATCACTCAGTGCAGGAAACATTAACACTTGTTCTAAATTGTGCTACATTGGAGAAAATAGAAAATACATTGAATATAGTTTCCAAGAAAACTTCTTTAGGGTTTAGAGCTATTATAATTATCATTTTGAAGATAATCGATAAAAAATATGTATTCGTCTAATATTATTTTTGAAATATTACATGCAAGAATATTAAAAAAAATATAAAAACTTATAGAATTTCAAGCGACGATGTGCATTTTTGAATAAATATTTACTTATTTAATAATTTTGCACCATGACGGGATGGAATTCTTGGAGAAAAATTGCCAAAATTTTGAACATGTCTTTTACATAATGTTTAAATATTGTGTTAAGTTTGCTGGTCTAACAAATTTTTTAAAGGAGATACATGTAAATAAATTTAAAAATAGAAATAGATTGTCAAAGATGATTCCATTATAAAATGAAATGAATTTACACTTTTGAGACGACATCATAATGTATTATATTGTAACTGTGTGTTTACATTAAAAAAAAAGGTATGCTGCAAGTTCTATAATTTTATTACATTTTAAAACATTAGTTGCTAGCTGTTAAAAAAAATGTAAACTAATGTAACATAATACAGAATAATTCACCATCAGCCAAAGAAAACATTCGTCAGGATACAGGAGAAATTAAAATTAAAAACAACTTGCATTTTCTTCATATCGTTTGAATGTTTAATTAGTTTTTTTTATTCAAGTTCATGGTATAATGTTTAATTCATTCGATCCGTTTCTATATTCAACTGTTATCACTAAAAAAAATGCATGTTGTGAATTTAAGGCATTTTGTTACTCAATAGTTTGTGGCAATTGACAAGCGCTGCTTCTAAAAAAAATCGCCTATATACTGTGCAACAGTATTTAAATTCTCATTGAACTTGACCTTAACACAGCTCTGGCAGATATCTCATTTTTGATGCGAAATATTGCCTGATAAGTAGAATCTTTAGGAGCTAGTGTATTTGTCCGTTTTCGTATATATATGAAATTCGATTAAAAAAAATATTAATGGTGTCTAAAATATAAGGAAAACCATTTTCCTTCTCTTACCGAAAAACGCTAGTTCGCTGAAAAACCACAACACTCTAACAACACTAAACTGAAAACAGCACATGTTACAACATTGCGGGATCTCTTCGGCTAACTAAGATAGTTTCAATCTCATCCTTGGTTTTTACACATTTGTAACCTTCGGTTTATCGGGAATCCAGAATGACTGCTTCGTGAAAAATTAAATAGATTGGCATATTCGACGGTATATAACCGTACGTAAACACATCTTTTATCAACAAACACGTTTATATGTAAATTATGTAACATCCATATAATCTTCAGGTGTTGTACCTAAACTTTTTAATATCGCACTATCGTACGGTGTTAAAAACACGTTGTGTGGTTTTTCCGCGTCTTTTGCTTGTACATTTCAATTGCAAATATAAAAGTATGTTAATTATTTTTTTTGCTGTAGACTCTTTGTTAGATTGCGACAACAATAACAACGTTTGTGAATAAAATTTATTATTGCATTTTTAACATTTCGAAAACTGGCTGGGGTTAGACAAGTGCGCGGAATTCGAGCGTTGACGTCACGAATACGTAGACGAATTCGTGCGTGTAAATGAAATAGCTGCACACTTCTCTTAATCTGACAGCGAATTAGGATTTTAGAAAAAATGTTAATCGTACCTATTGTGAATTTGGATAAAATACACATTTACGTTGTACGAGATTCTTAGAAAGACCGCAAGCTGATAAAGTTTGTTTTCTATAAACGTTCGATAACGTTGACGAGAGTTTATAAAGTTAATCAGTGGTTTGCAATATAATAAAAGTTTTTCTGGTAAATGTAAACAATCCAATAAAATGTGAAGAATGACATTTGCGTAGTTTGTGGTCACTTAGTCAAAAATAATTACAACAATATGAATTCTGTTATTAGAAAAATAAACATACAAAATGATTTTGTATTTTAGTTCGTGTACTTAATGCGTTTTACTGATTGTTTGAAGCAATGTTTGACCATGAAAATATAGAAAGAAAAGTTGCTACGCCGAGCGACAGTATTGTGAAGAATTTGTGTACATTTTAATAATGTTAATTATTGTTGCACACATTATTTGTTGGTTTATTTCGTCTAGAAGATAAGTCATGTGTAATCTGTTTCAATAAGAAGTTTATAAGAAATTTGTACTAAAATATGGTAATATGGGTATATACTCAAAATTAATTTTGTTGATCTTAAAGTGAAATCCAAACGTGCGTTAATGTTGTGGTTTTTCAGCTAAGTTAAGCTGATCGTTAAGAGAAGGAAGCTTGTGTTGCGGATGACGTACACACTAAAAAAAAAAATTAAAAGTTGAGCAGAAACTTAAAAAAATCGAATCTTATATCTATCCTTCAATAACCTTCATATGCACTTGTTGCCAAAGATTCTAGTTATTTTATTTTATTTATTTTATTTATTATTTATCAGACAATACTGTGCATAAAAATTACTAAGGTCAAGTTCAGTGACAGTGACACATTATATTACAGTGCATTGGTGATACTTAATGCGAAAATAACTTAATTTTTCGAAAACTAAAAGTATCATGCTGAGATTACATGTTAAAATTTTGAAATAAAACAATTATGTTTTGTTTTTGCAGTCAGCAACAATCTATCTCTATCCTTAATTTTATTTATTTATTTATTGCTCCAAAACAATTCTGTTTAAACGAAAAACTCACCACTGTATATTTATCCACGTGATACGAACGTGGCTGGCGAAATACGTCGACAATTTTGTATTTTCAGTAGATATTTGTGGGGTAAAAAACTGACAAACTTAACAATTTATTATTACGTAAAACACGTGTTCGAAATTTTGTTAAGATGTTAACGTTGGTTGATGGGCTACTTAATTTTTACAAGAAACTGTTTCTTCGTTTCTTCGAGAAAATCTAGAAAAATTATTAAACAAATATTTGTTGAAAAATCTACCCCATAAAATAACTTTGGTTGCGATTCTGTAATATTCTTACACGAAACGTTTCAAAAATATAAATGTGTTTTACTGACATAAAAATGATTCGTCTAATGTTCTACCACTGTAGACCGTAAAATTGATGACGTCATTTCAAGAAGCCATTTCTTTTATTTTTTGAAATATCATAACATTTCAATTTTACATATTCTTCAAGATGTTTTCCAAACTCGTTTCAAAGCAACTTACAAAAAGTTCAGCCGTTAAAAATACAAAGAGTTGCTGGTTGAAGTGAAACATGTTTTATTTAATTTAGTTTTTTCTTAAAATTTGAGAAAGCCAAAGAGATATACTTTTGAAGCAGTAATAATATGAAGCAGACTGTGTTCTTTAAAATTAGTGTTATACGTGTTGTCATTTATCAATCACATTTTTCATTCATGACTTAATAATAAAGTTACGTTATTACGTTATTAGTTTGAAATTTATGCAGATTTTTTATTCCCACACCTTTAAAGGCACAGTAAGTGAAGTTGATTATTTTTCCTTGTCAATTGTTTGTAACGGTTCTTTACGTAGATGTCTTTTACTTATTTAGATTAGGCACTTGATAACGTTTGTTTAAATTTATTTATATTGAAGTCCAAATCTTCTATGTTAATGGACAATGACGTGCAGGAATGGAATAAAATAACATAAAAATTTCCGTTAATATTGCACAAAACTTCGGTAATTTTTATGCTGTACTAGGCAGAGTGTCGCAAGAAGTCGCTTTAAGCCCCAACATATGTAGTGTTGCTTATTAATAAGAAAAATCTGAAGCTGATTTAACAAATTCAGGGAGAAAATTTGTCCTCTATTATAGAATACAAAGATTTGGACAAACGAACCCACAAAAATTGAATATGAATAAGTCGCATGTTAAAGTACGTAAAAGAAGCAAATTCTTGTATATACAGGTGTCCCGTAAACAGTGGTGTATATTCTGTCACAGGAGAGATACAAAAATAATAATAATAATAAACTTTATTTCCATCGGACAATTCTGTCCATAGTGGACAATAATACATTACTTTAACTTAATAATAAATTTACTAAATACTAGAAACTAGAAACCAAGAAAATAAAAATAAGTAATAAGAAACAACAATAAAAAAATAATAATTCATAAGCAACAAAGTAAAAAGTTGAAAATCCCTGCTTTTAATTCTTAATTGACATTAATTTTTTGTGCAGGGCCTTTGTTTGACATATAATCTAAAGCACTTAATTAGAGTAGAGTTAAAATGATGATACGTTCGAGGAATTACCTACAAAATAAAAATGTTAAAGTTTTTGCGAGTGAAATTAGGAACAACAATCTTTATTTCACTTAGCAAATTATAACTATATATTACACCACACAGAAGCTTTTGAAAGAATGACAAAAGAAATATATTCCGTCTAGATAACATACTGTCCTCATTAACAATGCGAAGTAAATCAGCATGATCATGATGCCTTATCGGGTCGTAACTAATGGTCTTGAAATACATAAATTTACACAATTTTCTATTAACCAATTCAAGAGCATCTATATACATTTGATGATGAGGTGTCCAGATAATACAACAATACTCCAACTTGAACGCACAAGTGTATAGAAAAGAATTCTAATGCATGATAAGTTATCAAATTCTCTGGCAATTCTAAAAATAAAACCTAAAGTTTTCAACGTGGTATTTATCAATTGCAATATTTGAGGTACGAAAGTTAATTCATTGTCAATGATAATACCTAAGTCTGACAATTGATCAACCTGGATTAATACCGTACTATTTATATTGTAATAAAAATAAATATGATTTTTCTTCCTAGAAAATTTTAGAACACTACACTTATCTTTGTTAACCTCCAAACAGTTTCTTTTACACCAATAAATGAAATTATCTAAGTCCTGTTGCTGTTCAAAAAAATCATCATATAAATTAATGACTTTAGCAATTTTTATATCATCAGCATACAGATATGCATAAGAACTAATGTAATTTAACACATCATTAAGAACAAAATGAACAATAGTTCATTTAACATCAACTTCATTACTTTTATCATCTAATTCTTGGGAAATAAAAGTAGTAAATTCCCTTAACAAAATCCATGTTGCTCAGGCGCAATCATATTAATAAAATTGCTATCGGCCCATAATTTTTTAGGCACCCTTTGTCCCCAGATTTAAAAAATAGGACACATCCTCCATTGTTTCCACGCTACAGGATATTCTGACTTCGGTGCAATTAGCTTGAATATTCGCGCTAACGGAGCCGCGAAACTTCTTATACAATCGACAACAATGAGGCCGCAATATTGTCAGAATCACTAACAATGTTACTCTTTAGTTTTTTACTAGCTCTAACTATCATATCTTGATCAATCTTAAAGTTGTGCAACACGTTAACACCACCACAGTTCTTTAACTCGTACTCAAGCGAAGGACAACAAGGCAACTTATAAAATTCACATTGTTTACTTACGTCCTTGGTTACACAGACGTCTTCACACACGTTTTTCATAAATACCCGCCAAAAACTGAGCAAAAACATTGATAATTGCTTGAGAAAATCAAAATTTTGGATCTTTGTGTACTACAACTCTTGGTATGCTGGTTGTTCTTTTCTTGGAGTTTACAAAAGACCAAAACGTCTTGGGATCATTTAATTTAGAATTTTGTGTGTTATGCAGGAAGATGTCATAATTATTGCGAATGTCACGTTTAATTTGTTCTCTTAAGCATCTAAGATTTTCCAAGATGTGGGGAGATTTAGTTTTCCGATATTTATTCCAATAATGTTTTTTCTATTTTATATTGTCAATTATCTCTTTAGTAAACCAAACAGGATATCTATTGGTCAAGTTTGAGTACTTACAAGTCGGAACATGCTTCGAGAAGATTTTGTACAAAGTGTCGTATAGATAATCGCATGCTAAGTTCACATTGTTAATGTTATTTATTATGGACCAGTCAATAGCTGCGATTTTAGCATACAATTGAGGAAAATTGGCTTTTTTAAAATTAAACTTAGTGTTGTGTCCGTTACCTTCAAAGAACGTGGATAATGCACATCTTCTTGTAGAAGTGGCAATGGTTCCCTAATTACTTCAGTATTTAATTGATTATTTGGTAACACCATATCCAGTAACCAATTGTTTACATTCACAATTGCATTACTCTGTTTTAAACCATTTATTAATGTTATGAAATTATTATAAGTATAGTAGAAGCCAGTTGTTCTATTTCCAAGCGCACACTCATTCAGTTCTGGAATGTTAAAATCTCCCATTATTAATTCAGGTTAGGTAAAGTCTATAGTAGTTTCAATATAATCAAAAATTTCAGCATAAT